GGCCGCGGATTCTGACCCGTGTGCAAAGTTTCAAGAGTTTTTGAGCATGTTAAGGGCCCCAAAAGTGCCCAAATAGTCGTATAAATAATAATAATAATAATAATCGTTAGGAAAACAATAGGGCCTTCGCCCTTTCAGGGCTTGGGCCCTAATAATAATAATCCTAAGGAAAACAATAGGGCCTTCGCCCTTTCAGGGCTTGGGCCCTAATAAAGAGAAAGTAATTGACAAAACTTCTGAATGAGAGTCTGTGGACTTCAAATCAAAAGGCTTTATCAATATTTTCTGGTTCTTTATGGGAGCACTTCAGTTTAAGTCAAGACTATTCAAGACGTTTTTTTTTTTTTTATAAAATAAAATTCATACATAAGGATGAGAGGCTACAGAGTGTAGGATAAAGAAAAGAGGAGGGTGTGTTTACCACCTTGATAGAAAGGATCTTTTATAAGCATAACTGGACCTTAAGAGCAGAGCAAAGCTGTCCTTGACTTTGTGTCTGTCAGCAATACAGATCAGATAACCTCCTCTTTCATTATTTTTTTATACTGATTCTTTATCAAAGTCTGGTAGTCTAATTGCATGGACAACAACAACACTCCACTTATATGTAATACAACTTTTCATATCATAAAAAAAGTATATGAAAAAGTACTGATATTATACAAAAATGTATGAGTAATCAAATAAAAACTTTAAAATGTATCAATTTGAAAAGAAATGTGCCTTGGCAGAAAATTAATGCTTACTTTTCACAGAAAATGATTTGGTGTTGAGTAGTAAAAGTTACAATTAACAAAAGAAGGATATTTCTTTCTAAATAGGATATAGGATATAATTTCTTTCTCTTAGTCTCCCCGTTCCATAATACCACCCATGTTCAGTCTTTCAGCTTGTAGTGCTGTGGCCTGACTGCACCCATCCTCTCTATCTGATCCCCTACTACAGAGACAAAGAAGGAGGAAACTGGTGGTCTCGTTTCTTGTGTGTTTTGAGGAAGTATGTCATTATACACTAAATAAATGTCCCAATGATCCTAAATCAACATCCTGCTGTTTAGAATCATGGCAAAATAAATAATATTTTACTGTCAATGTGAGTTGAATGCTGTCTGTATTGAATGCAATAAAAATACTTTGTGCTGTAAAATAATGTCAAGAAATGCCTTTATCTTGAGTTGTACTCATGGGCTGCAAAAACTTAACCAGTCCGATTCACAAACAAATAACTGAGCTGATTCTTATTAGTCACTCAAAAACATACAGCACAACTAGTGTAGTCTGATTCCTAAACTAATGACTCTTATGAGCTGGTTCTTTTAATAGTTCAAATTTGGATGAGTTACCGATTTAAATCAGCTTGATACTGAATCAACATCTTATTGCATTGTTATTTTTAGTGATGTAGTACATATCGAAAGTTGTGAAATCATTCAAGACAATCATTGGAAGACCTACTGCCACGGAACCCCTTTTGGAGACCCCTAGTGTAAAACAATGCAGATTTTTCATAATTTTTCTCCCTTTTAACAGTTAGGCCAATGTTAAAACCTGATTGTCAGTTGATACTCGCAGCTGCATCCGCATAGTATGGTGGAAAAGACAGCCAAGCAGAAAGACAATAACAAACAAAGGGCCCCCCAGTACACACACAAAACACCCTCCAGTACAGTAGTAATGAGGGTCTCTATTCCATCTCTGAGCCGTTTTCCTCCCTCCCCAGAGTTCTGTCTTCACTGAGAATTGAAGAGATTTAAATGCCCTTCAGCTCTGACTAAATCATTCTGTTCTGGAACTTAACTTATACATGTTATTATGTTTTCCTCAAGGTATTGTCAATGCTGAATAACATAAGCTCATGGCTTAAGGTGATTTCATTAAACTGTACATGCACAAATATAGAGAATCTAGTAAAAACACAGTATTAACTTTGAGGAAAATACAATATTATCATTTGCAACATGGTGGCCGTATCAGGTAAATCTCAGGTCCTCATTATATGTCTACAATGAGTAAATGCTGAATTTATAAAGCAAAGTCTGCGGTGCTAAAACCCATCTCTGAAATCACCAGAATTCATTCAGACTTTTCTGTGTGAAAGGACAGTGTGCAGCTTGACCTGGCTTTCTCTCAGCTGTATTTCATTCACAGCTGGAGCCAAAGCTGCCAAAACAGGCAATGGGTCTCCAGGCTCAAGAGTTATTTAACTCCCACAGAGACAGAATGGCATCGGAACTCAGAAGCAGGAACTGGAGCCTAGCTAATGCCCAACAAAGATGGGCATAGTGAGGGGCTGAAAGCAGTCTAACTAACAACCAACTGTGGCCTTCTGGAGGCCTTTCATCCATTTGTGTGCCACATTTTAAAGACAGAATAGGCTTGCTTCCTGTCTTGGAGGCTGTTTCAATATTAGTATCCTTTAGTGATTCATTGCATGAATAATATTCATAGGCAGAGTTGGTTGGGGAGATCTAATATTTGGATGCTGTAATGGAGTGATACAGTATAAGGCTTCGTCTACATTAATCCGGATACATTTGAAAACGCAACTGCTTTCATGTTTTGCAGCAGGACAGCAATTGCACCAGCCATTCACATTAACATGGGCAATTTCGGGACAAATCTTGCCATTTTGTGGGCAATAAGCATCAGACTGTCATTAAACAAATGGTGGGCGGTCCTTGAGTGTGCCATCTAAGGGTGAGACTAAAGGCCTGTTCACACCGGGATGAATTTCGTGTGCGATATTTGCCGACGTTTAACGCCTAATGACTAAACAAAGGGCGCCAATGTGAGTGTGCACACAGACGCGAAAAACGCAACGCATAAAAGCGTCATTTAAAAAAAAACGCCTCGCGTCGTGTCAAAAACTACCCGACCAATGAGATTGGTGCTTTTTCTCATGTGTCTGGAGCTTTTAGAGTTACAGTAAAACACAACTTGGGGGCACTCAAACACAAAACGGTCTTGCCGAGCACACATACGTAATGGCGAAGAAGATATACGCCAAGTAGCATCTTCACTGCCGGGAAGAAATGAGACAAGGAAGATGCACGTAGAGCTGCTGGTCTCGCTGGTGTCGGAACATAAAGAACTATTATATCAAACGCGACAGTGACTACAAAAACCTTGATAAAAGAGAGCTGTTGGAGTGGTATTGCAGAGCAAATGGACGCCATCTAATGTCAGTCGGCTCATCGCCCGCGAAAAATCGCTTGGGTGTGAACACAAAAAACGCTTTGAAAAACGCTGGCGAATAACGCGCACCGATATTCGGCCCGGTGTGTAGTACGGGCCTTAAGCCTTCAGTGCATGCGTACACGCACAACATTTTGCAGGTCTAGCTCTAGCCCTATGGCCTACAGGGATGTTAAACATCAATATGTATTCTCTGGACAGTATTTGCATGAATGCATGCAACAGTCAGACAGCCCAGACTGAACTGACTGGTGAACAGAGAGCAGAGCTGAAGGGGAGGCCAAGGAGAGTGTGCTGTCGCACTAAAGTTAAATAAATCTTCTCTGTCTGCATAGAGGTTGTCAAGATCTAGCCAAATATTCCATTTAATCATTCAATGTAATTAGAGAGAGCAAGACTTTTAGTTTTAATCATAGACCTGAGAACACTCCGGACAATTCCCAAAGTCTTATTAACATTCTCCTGTTTATTTCTAATAATATCACATAGCATAATTATAACTATTTGAGAAGCTGTAAATCAACCAACCACAAAACAGCTTAATACCAGCCTCTCACATCTTCGGCATGTATCAATTTAGGACGTCCTACCAGACTGGTTAAATACAATGAACGCGATTACATGGTCAACCTTCAGCCAATCTATCTGTATATTTCACAGACCATAACTGCTGAAACTAATTATACCTAAAGAAATTGAGCATCTAACAATCTGTAATATAGGCAATATAAAGGAAACAATAAATACTACAAGCAATTAAGCAATTAAATTATGAACAAAATATACACTATGGTTCATTAGTTTGGGGTCAGTAAGATCTAATAGGCCTATATTTTTATTCAGCAAGGATGCATTGATCAGACTAGACAGCAAATAAATACTGTCTTTTGAACTGTTTATTCATCAGGGAAAATAAATGTATCACGGTTCCAAAAGAATAAGCAGGACACTGCTTTCAACATTGATAAGAATAAGAAATCAACATTGATAATAATTAGGTTTCCCTGGCAGCAAAAAGCAACCTATTTTGAATGATTTCTGAAGGATCATGTGACACTGAGCAGACTGTGGTAATGATGCTAAAATTCTGCTTTGCCATCACAGGAATTATAAACTAAATTTAAAACTTATTTTAAAATATTTCACAATATTACTGTTTTTCCTGTACTTTTGATTGAATAAATGCAGCCTTGGTGAGTATAAAGACTTAAAACTGTAAATATGCAAATGCAAAATGGCTTGCAGTGCATTCGTAAATGATACACATCTGAAAGATGCTGCTGAAACTTTTAATCGTATCATGTATTTCCAACTATTAATCTTAAATATACATAATATTTACTGGACATCTGGATGACTTTAGAGGAGAGAGAAAAAAGAAAAGAAAAATAGGCACATAACAGAAAGTTTAGAAACAAGAAGGCTATGTTTTTCAAGACCATAGCTACCATAGTGGATGTGCATAAAACAATAATCATCCTCCAGTGGAAATGAAGACACTTCCCCCAGACATAAGTAGACAGAGTGCAGTTGCATCATACTTATTATATAACTCTCTATATAATGCTGACTTTAAGATCAATGTTTTATAAACTGAATGAGATGGTAAGGAATCTGATCAATGGCAGCAAACTGAAAGACATTAATAAGCAAACACTGACATAAAGAGAGGATGGAGCAACAACTTGTGTCTGGGAGGCATGTGGGGCTGGGCCTGGTAAGAGGGAGGGAATGAAGTAGTGAGGGAGGGATGAAAGGAGGCTGTGGGAGGAAAAAGGGAAAGAGAGAAACAGATGCAAGTAACTGACAAACTACATGCACGCAGGAAGCCGGAGAAGATACAGCCTCTTTCTATAGATGATTGCAGAATACAGAGTGTGGCCAACTCAAAACCAAAGGAAAGGTAGGAAATTAGCCTCAATAATTTGGAGTCAGACATTGAGATGAAAATAATAATATGATCTATTTTATTTTCATACTGAATAAACAAGTATATTTTCATGATTTATGTATAGAAAGAGGCTATAATTGTGTAAAGTACACAGATAGATAGCGGTCTGTTTGTGTCTTTTGGAGATACATGGAAGTAAGCAAGTGTGTACGTACGAGCAGCATTAAATGAATGAATGTCCTTGTATGCAAATACAACCAAGGCCTCTCTCTGGTTGATTCGGTTATGGTTAAACAGGCAAGACAACACGCACACAAACCTCTGAATGCTTTAGGACAGCTGTAAACATTCAACATGGAGGGAGAGCTGAAAATTAGACACGTGGATGTTAGAAAAAGTAATATGATGGAGAAAGATCTCAGATAGATGCAATTTCATGCCTCACTGCTAACACGATGCGACTTGCCAAACCCTTTAGGCGTGCTAGTATAATTCCAAATCAATCAACATATAAATGTTACAAATAAACTAAAGACTATAAATATAATGCATGTGCTCTTACACAACACACAAATATTTACGATGCAGTCTTTAGTCGTGAGTGATGTCAGTCTCACAAAAAGATTCAGATCAGACACACTGGTGATTTAACACTTAGACTTCTTCTGTCCATTATCTGCTTGAATCACAGCTCATTTTAGTTTGAATGGCACAGTCTCATTCATTAGAGCCTAAATTGCAGCTTACATTCCTTTAGGCTTAACTACAAACGGTGGTTTGAGTTCTTAGTGAAATTTTACAAGCATCCACGAACCGCTTCCTGTTTGAGTGGCGGTCTTCTAAAGAGTTTCATACTGGAAAATGGAGCCAGGCGGTCCAATATTCATTACTCTAATCAGCATTTCTCTTATCATGGTGTCATTGGACAAATGAATATTTATTCACATGATGATCTATATATGAGTTTCCTAAAAGGCCTAAAAGTGATGTTTGGCTGGTTAATGGTTGAGTTTTGGATGTTCGTTTGCGTTTAGTCTTGTTTATTTTGTGTTTTTTGGTTCATTCAATCCTGTTGGTCTATTGCGAAAACACAGATTCAGGTTTTCCACTGGTATTGTGCCAAAATATATTAATATATTTTCCCTTAAAAACAAAACAAAAAATTCTTGCAAAAGCTACAGCAATCTTTTGATTAAATCTTTCATCATGTTTAATGTTGTTTTAAACATAAAGGTTCTTAATTATTTCTTTGCAAGAACTTATAAAGTGCCTTGTTAATATGTAAAGAAAGTATTCCCAGTCTCAGTTCACATGTTCATATAATTCTATGTAGCAGCTAGGCTATAATGAAGGTAAACAGATTTGTTTGGGTGGCGCTCTTATTAGAACCTTTAATTTTAGTGTAACTTAGACTTGATAACCACTTCTGCCCACCTCACAGCCTACATAGACTATAAGTATAATGAATATTTAAAAACTAAAAAAAAAAAAAAAAAACGCTGTCACTTAAGCTTGTTGTCTTTGCATGTGCTTTGCAGATGTCATGGCGGCCGACCTACCGGAGCTCCAAGTTTCGAAACGTCTATGGCAAAGTGGCGAACCGAGAGCACTGCTTCGAGGGCATCCCAATCACAAAGAACGTCCATGACAACCATTTCTGTGCGGTCAACGCCAAGTTCCTCGCCATAGTAACGGAGAGCGCGGGAGGAGGATCTTTCGTTGTGATCCCGGTCACTCAGGTAACAACCACAGACGCGCGTGCACACCACTAGTGACAGTTTGCCAGAGACTCTTGAACAATCAGGAGTATGAATGATGCTAATCTTTTTAAGAGGCTTATTTTGAGTCACATAGGTGTCGGTAATGGGTTCACAATGTTTTACAATGTGAAAAACAGTCAAACAATTTACGTGTTTACAATTGTTATAAGTCTTGTTAAAAGGGTCATCCTAACATGGATTTTTGTTTTATTTTAATATGTTCTATGAGGTTCGCCTTAATGTTAATACAGTTTTTACAAACAAAAACAGATAATGCGGAAAAAAACGTTATTAACAGTCAAAGCATATGAAGTCGTTTAGGCCTATAACAGTAGCCAACTGGTTGCGAAATGGCTGCTAGCTGCCTGCTTCATCTTACAACAAAAGTTTCTTTTTAAACGCTAATGACAGTGAGATATAGACTAGTGTATTATATATAGCCTATATATATATATATATATATATATATATATATATATATATTATAATTAATTATGGGTGATTTAATAAAAATAAGTATTTTGAACAAACAAATTAGATTATCACATTAAAGTAATGCATTTTATAGAGAGGATATCAGCACACTGAAGATAATGGAAATTCCTGTGTTAAGAAATAATAAATTATTTAGAGCACTTGCTTCCAGACTAAGGAACTAAGTTCCAGTCAGAGCAAACATCAAACCCTTCATACAATATATCTATTTATTTATTCCAGGTATTTATTTAAGTATTTCAGGCAAACCCAGCTGCAGGACATGTTCCTGAAAGAGTGCATCTTAGTAATCTGTGTTGAGTAATGACTTAAAGTGAACTTGATACAACATGCTAATCATTTTACAGCAATTATGCATAAAGTCTGTTTAAAACATATACGGACTGCTAATGGATGCTTGTACAAATTCACATTTACATTAATTTGTGCAGAGAACATGAGCAGTGGTTACTGAACAGTGGAAAAACATAGATGAGTCATTCCTTGCCCTGTTCTTATAAAAGCACATGTGGTGCACACTTAAAGGAACCCACTGGCCTCTCACTCTCTTTCTGTTGAACTATTTAGTTGGCTCTGTTGTAGTGCAGTATGCATTATTGTGATTTAGGTTTCCATTGCACCAATATACAGTATACAGGCCTTTTATGTGATCACCTATATGCTGTTCTGAACAAAATGATATCTTTCTGAACAAAATGATATCTAGTGTCATCTTTTAAGAGCAAGTTGCTATCATCCTCTGAGCTTGAACCATAACTCCATAGACTATTCCATAGAGAAAGACTCCATAGTCTTTCCTTGTTGTTGAAAAGTTAATTAACTTGTGTGTTTTCCCATATTAGTTATTGTAATGCCTTATTAACTGGAGTGTCAAAAGCTACCCCAAACAAATTGCTGGTAGTGCAAAACTCTGCTGCTAGAACTACTAAACTAAACTCTACTAGAACCAGGATAAGATCGCATCCCATTTTTCGCATCCCATCCCGTTAGGTTAGGGTTAGACTTTAAAATTCTGATACTTACTTACAATGCTTTACATGGGTTGGCACCTCAATACTTGACCAAACTTTTAATTCTCCAACGCGCAACCTTCTTTCATCTGAGACTGGTCTTTTAATTGTTGCTTTTAATGGCTTACAATTGATGGGAGATGGGCTTTTTCTTCAATAGCTCCAAAACTATGGAATTTTTTTTACCAATCGAAATAAGGCAATTAAAATCTCTTTGCATTTTTTAAATTTTACTTTAAAACTCTTTTTTTAGGGTAGCTTTTAATTGAATATTTTTATAATTTGTTTATTGTGTGTGTTTTTTTTTTTTTTTGTTTCAGTAAAGCGCTTTGAGATGTACAGTTAAAGGTACTATAGAAAATTATTATTAATATTATTATCATTATTATAATAGAACCATGAAGTCATTCACCCAGTGGCTTGACATGCTTTAAATTAAAGCTTTCTCTGACCCTCTTTACAGGCTGACCAAAAAGCCTGAATATAGTGATCAGAAAGCAGATGATTCTCCTTTAATCTCTGGCTTTGATTCTGTAAAATGGACAAGCTAGCTGCTGATCACTGATGTTGATATAGCAGTAACGTAGACCACAACGATGTGGACACCAGTGTGCTCTGGCTGGAACAGAACAGCTTTATGACTGCTTAAGGAAGACAGGGTTTCTGAAGATGAATGAGATTTCACACACAAATATATATATATATATATATATATATATATATATATATATCATCATTTACTCACCCTCATGTCATTCCGACCCTGTACGACTTTATTTCTTCTGCAAAGCAAGATTTTTTGTTTTGTTTGAAGAATGTTGTTAACCAAACAGTTTTGGTCACCATTTGCTTCCATTATATAGTAAAATATTTTCCACAGAAGAAAGTCATACAAGTTTGGAGCAACATGAGGGTGAGTGAAAAATGAAATCAGTTTTAGTTTAACTATCCCTTTAAGTTATTTTCTTTGTTTTGAAAAACCATGATCCTAAGGAGACAAAATGCAAGTGAATTTAAATGTGCCTCCAAATTCCACCTTCACAGCAAGTGGCCAAACTGCAAGAATAGCACAGACAGAAAAAAAATGACACATACACTATTTATCAATGACATGACAATGAGAATTTTTGGCACAGATCCTTTGATGTCCCATTCTTCGCCCCAGTCATCTCCTCTCTTTATTCTGCCTATTCTTCTGTTCCTCCTCTTGAGCGTATCCGGTCATGCTACATTGCCCAGTGGGCCTGCAGACCCTCGGTCATGCTCTCAGCCAACTTGGATAAACTATCAATAGCACTTTTGTGATGAACACCCAGAGTCACCCAGTTAAAGTGTCACGTAGAAGGCCAGCTTTGTGCTCTTCATGGGCTCATTCCAGTGTTTCTGACTCCAACTGGGCTCCCATACAGGCCATTAAAAAGCCCCTCTGACTTCAGCATGTGTGTTTCTCTGGACACCACGTGGGGATCTGTTTTTCCCAGCTTCTTCATCCTCCATCTCCCTTGTATCTCTTTCTCTTTCTGCCTAGTATTGACAGCTCCCAGCAAAGTTTGCATACTGTAATACTGAGAAGTTCACTATCACTGAAATCTGGCATAGAAATAATAGAAATCACTGTGAAGCTATTTAATAAGTGATAAGTTCAACCTCATTTGCATGATAGGTCTAACTAATATACAAACATTTTTGATTATAGCCAACTTTTATTCTTAAAGTAACAACTTTTGCATTTGTTCTAATTTGTGTATAGCTTATTAAATTTCTCTAATGCTTTTATTCAAACCAAGCCATTAGTCTGAATAAGTCTAATATGGACAACTGTCTGATTAAAGAGGATCAGCAGTTCTCATTATACATCTGAGATATAGACACATGGGAAAAATATAATGGCAGAACATTGGCTTTTCAAATGGAATTCCTCATCTGACAAAGGAGCTTCAGTTGTGGAATGGAAACTGCATTCAGAAACCAAGATGAGATGGCCCAGGGAAAGAGAAAAAAAGAGCATGAATAGAAGACTGTGGTATTTGTGATGATGTCATCATTAACTGTTTAACCATTTGGAAATGAAACCGTTCCTTTCCTTGACCTGCTAATTTGCTGTTGACAGAAACTTCTCTGAATGATAATGTGTGAGGTGGTGCTGTAAAGGTTTGGGGTGATATCAGAATTCTTAAAATAATTCAGAACCCCCATCTAAAAGGCTCAAGCAGTCAGGAGCACACACACACACACACACACACGCACACAAGAGGGAGTTGGGCCATCTGGCAACACAGATAGGAAACTGCCAACCATTTTAGACTTACCAACATGCACAAATTGCTTTTAACTGGACCCACACCCATTTTAATAATGCCTCAGTTAACATACAGTAAACTCAGAAAACTGAAATGCCCTTTGTTTAGAATTTTGTTCGGGAACCTTGGAAAATTTTGGCCTTGGAAGAAGCAAAATAATTTTTAACAGTCTAGACTTTAGAAAATAGTAGCACTGGCCATGTCATTTCGACTTTCAGAGGATCTGTAATTCTACAGAAAAACTCCATACTCATCTTTCTCTCTCTGAATATCTAACAGAATATTAATGTATTAAACTGCCAATCATCAGTTTGAAGTAATTCATTAATTTGTAAAAATATCCTATTATTATGCATATATTATGCAAGCAGGCTATCTTATATTAATGTTAGTTAAAAATGCTGATTTTTGTAAGTATATTTTGTATTTATTTATTTATTTATTTTTTTGTAAAAAAATGTTGTCTCTGCCGCTTATATTCTAGCGCATCCAGATTAGTCAGATAGTGAGTCATTACTCATGCGCTATTGTATTTAGCATATTATGTAGAAAGAAAAACGACTTTTAATGCGGGATCAGTGAAATCATAATATTATCGTAATCGAACATGAACTTCTTTATAGCTGTAGACAGTAGACACTGATTGGAGCAGAAAAGATTTTACAGCACACTCTATGGACTGTTTCATAATAATGATATATTGACTCCATAATTAGATGTAGATGCTAAATAGACACTAATGGGAGTGTGTCACAGCAAAGCCTTGTAACTTCTCTGCTAAGGATGTTAAATTTGTGCCCTATAAGACAACACCTTTTTTTTATTTGTGCTATTAGAGTTATGGCAGTCTAAAGGCACATCCACTGACATCATAATTAGTGTAATCACATGGCTGTTCCTCACGCATCATTGTGCTGCTTACAATAGAGGGTGTGGCTAAATATAATTCTCTCCTTTTGTCTCTGACTCTAAGATCTCAGACAGCGACTACTCAGTCTGATCTGCAGCCAACACATCTATTTCCACAGCCACTCACTGCCAACACACAAACACACACACACACACACACACACACACACAAAAGAAGAACAATAAACAGCAAGTGAAAAATAATGAATAATTAGAGAGCAGAAACAGAGAAGCAAAGACAAGGTGTAAAATGCAAAAGCATCTCTTTCAAAACTTTGTTCTGTGCATATGTGAAAATGTCCCTCAGAAAAAATCATTCATAATCATGATATTAAATGTTATGATGTTTAAATGCAATTCACTTATCATTATGCATACATTTAATGCAATTAAGAGATCATTAAAGTTGTCATATTGTACATTCATTCATTACATTGATAATGTTAGTTTTGGTTAAGTCATACTTTTTCCATTTTTGTGCTGCTGTGCTGTTAATAACGCTCTGTTTGCCCATTTTTCATCTTAGTAATAAAAATGTATGTTTTGGAATACAGGGTGCCCAACAATATGATTTAATAGTGCATCTTTTATCACAAAAAGTGCACGAATTTTTATTAATTTCTCACATTGTTATCATGATGTGAGAGGCAATGATGAGCTGTTCGAATAAGCACAAGATCAGTCTGAGAGCTATATTTAGTCTTGGAAAACACCTTGACAAATCAGAAATCCTCACATGCAGGCAAACATATGAGCAACAAACTATAACCGATTGCTTTGGCCACAATAGGTAAAGGCTTTAGCATTTTAAAATCGGCCATTTTCAGTGTTCTTATGAGTTTTGATCTCCTGTGGGAAATCAAGACATTTCCTTGCCCAAGAAAATTGTATTAAAAAAAACACCCCTCGAGCAATCGCTGTGCTAATTTAATGCCATAATCTAACACAGATTTCCATCATGCTAATCTAGTAGAATAGCACAGAGAGCACAGACATGAATATCCAGCCAAGAAGCCACATGCTGTTCTGTTCTTGACCAAGAAAATCACATTCAAGCTTACTAAATTTTTTCAACAATGAAATGACTTCTCTGATATCACAGCACTAACAGTACTATCACTGCACTGAAGCCCTGACAGCAGCCCACTCAAGGGTGCACTCGTGCATGACCTGAACTACAAATCCCAAAGGACCTCAGAAAGAGGTCAATGGACTAAAGTGGCATCAAATATTCATGACATCATGGGTGCTTCTCAATATCCCTCCTCGTCTCCTCTCTCCTCCGTCCTTCATCCAATGATGACCCGGAAACCGTTCAAGCTTAGCCATCTTGAAGGACATCTTAATTCTCGACTTGTACCGCGAGGATCGAGGAGGCTTCCTGAGGAATAACGGGTGAGGATGCACGAGTGTATCCTTTGCGGAAGTGTTTTATCAACTAAACGTGACGCTTATAAATTCTCCTCCCCCTTCACATCGGTCACAATCATTAATCTATACTTTACCTTTGCAGTTTATATAAACCACACATCTCACATAGGCTACTTAAACAGGGTCTCTTGCTTTATTATCATTTATTACTAATTTCTTAAAAAAAACAACTTCAGCAACATAAGGGCAGATCGTTTGAGCGCTGCTGATGACGGTATGAAGTGACGCTCGAGTGATCAAGTATTCCAATGTATAAAAAGACTTTCATTCGATCCCATTTCTTTCCTTGCAGCCTTCCCTCGCATCCTGCAGGGGGTGGAGCTGAGACGCAAGGAAAGGAAACGAGTATGCACAAATAAGAATTGAGAAGCACCCTACCATTCTGTCTACTACTGAATTTCTGACTGTAGTCATGTAGCTCCATACAGTGGACGTTTGTGTGTATTACAATGGAGCTGTTTGATTGTTTGCAACTATCCATATCTATCTGTCTTCCTATGTGTATCCATACATTATTTTATTTGTGTAAATAAAACCATTAGATCAGTAACCTGTACTTTCCACCCGCAGTTTGGCCGTATCGACCCTCACTATCCAAAGGTCTGTGGTCACCAAGGCAAAGTGCTGGACATCAAATGGAATCCTTTCCATGACAACATAATCGCGTCTTGTTCAGAGGACTCTTCTGTAAGTAAAATCATCAAGGTCAAATTAGTCAGCATCATTTAAAAAAAAAAAAACTGGAAACTTCTGTGCAGTGAAAACTTGTTTCAGTTTATTTTTGTTGTCATTAATGGAGAACCATTTACTTTTCATGATGTGGATGGTGAAAGAGTTTTACATTAACTTGAAATATCAAAATAACAGGACCAAATATATCTCTTAAATAGAAGTTTTATTTATTGAACTTAAGTCACATCAAGTATAGGGATTTATTAGGGAAGGGATAAATATTTAAATGTCATTTCAATGTGATTTTGATGTACATAAGTCATTTTAAGTGATCCTGCAAAATAAACAATAATTAACAAAAAAAAGGAGAAAGAATAATAGAAATTAAAATGGTTTGACATTCATAAAAAATTTAAAACACAAAAAGATGTTAATAATACCTTGCAGAAAGTCATAACAGAGGTAGAACAAGTAAACACATTATTGTTGTTGTTGTTGTTGTTGTTGTTATTCTAGCTCTGATTGGATTATGATTGGAAAATCCAGTTATTTTAATGCTTCCGTGTTTGTTATAGCCTACATTGTATTTGTCCTATGAGACTGATTTAACCATTTGCGAAGTTATATAATTATAACTAACCTGACATTAGTGTCTTAAACCTTCTTTATATACTGTAGTTGATTTAAAAGTGATTTTTTTTTTTAGCTCTGCATCTTTGTGTCTGTGAATATGTCAGGTACGAATATGGGAGATTCCCGATGAAGGACTGAGAAGGAATTTGACAGAGCCTGTATTAGAACTGTATGGTCACAGCAGACGCGTGGGCCTCATAGAGTGGCACCCAACCACTAGTGGGATTCTCTTCAGTGCTGGCTATGACTACAAGGTAATAACATCTTTTGAAACCGAATTTGACAGTCTCAAATTCAATAATATGAGCTATAAAGTTAAAACATGGACAGTTGGATTTATGTGAAAACTTATTTTGATTGTCCACAGTATAAACATGATAGTGCCATACTGCCACTCACAGAAATAAAACCATCAAAAGACTGTATCTGAGGTTTGAGGTACTAATGTGCTGTTGGTATTTTTGTCTCTGTAGATCCTGATTTGGAATCTGGAGATTGGGGAGCCAGTGAAAATGATTGACTGCCACACAGACGTGGTCCTCTGTATGTCATTTAACACAGAGGGGAGTCTGCTGGCCACCAGCTGCAAGGACAAGAAGCTCCGCGTCATTGAGCCCCGCTCTGGCAAAGTGCTACAGGTGCGGATTGCGTGTGTTTAGTCTTTCAGTATATGCAGCACTCAAACACTCACAGTCCAAAGTAAACAGGCAGACTCATGGCACATTTCAATCACATTTCTTCTAATATCTGATATTGACTTCATTCTGCACTCTACATATTCGTCAAGTATGCATTAAATTGAGTAAATTGAAACTTATAGTGTTACTAAAGATTTCTATTTCAAATAAATGCTGTTTCAAATCAGCATATTAGAATGATTTCTGATCGATCATGTGACACTGAAGACTGGAGTAATGGCTTTTGAAAATTCAGCTTTGAAATTTGAAAATTTAAAACATATTAAGATAGAAAAAGTTTTTTTTTTTAAGTTGTAATATTATTTCAAAGTATTGCTTTTTTACTGTGTAAATCTATCCTTGTTGAGTGTAAGAAACTTCTGTTAGAAACATTAAAACATCTTACCAACCCCAAAATATTTTAACCTTATTTTTTATTTCTTTATTTAATCATACACACTAATTTTATTATATGTTCTAAAATGTTTTATTTTTCACTGACATCCAGAGGAATTTTTGGAAGATTTTTTGGAATAACCATAATTTTTCATGCACCCTTATTTTGTAAAATGCACTACTGAGAAAATTGTCTGCAGAACTGAAATTTTCACATGTTTTTGTTTTATATTGTCAAGCAGGAGGCAAACTTTAAAAACCACAAAGTGAACCGTGTTGTGTTCCTAGGCAACATGAAACGACTCCTAACGACAGGCGTGTCTCGCTGGAACACACGCCAGATTGCTCTCTGGGACCAGGTGAGGACAACCTATGTGTGTGGGTCAGGTTTTGACCTGATCACTTCCAACAAGGGCTGTTAAACCTGAAATCACGTGGGACCAATCAAGGAGGAAAATAAACAAAAAATGTAATAAGCAGAAAATATTATCTTATTTAAAATATAAATGCTAAGATGTGTCAGTGAGGGTCATGGGGTAGATATAGTTTTTGGTGTTGTAAATACTAAATTATTTAATATAGTATAAAAACAAATAAAGTCAAGTCTCCACAATGGCAGAAAAACAAGTGGGCGTGTCCATGTGTTCATTTACAAAACTCATCCAGAAATACACATTGTCCCTGATGTCTGCATTACCCTAAAGATTAAGATCGCTGAAAGTCATTGTTTTCTTCTCAGCGTCTTCCCTGTAATTATTGTGTGAGAATCACATTAATTGTTCTAAGTGTAGCTAAACAGCTACTCTCAGCTGCAGTGGAGAGAGAATATTGGCAAAGAAGCTGGTTGCTTTGCTCTTCATACATTGTTAGGGTTCTGACAAAGTACTGTATTTCAACATTAATTTGTCAAAAGAAAAGAAAAGAAAATTTTTGAATTAATTTGTCAAAAGAAAAAGTTATTTGCTCTCATACTGCACTGTCTCTCATGACAGGAGGATCTGTCCATGCCAATCATTGAAGAGGAGATTGACGGCCTGTCAGGACTGCTTTTTCCATTCTATGATGCAGACACACATATGCTCTACTTAGCAGGCAAGGTACACATTACTCCATACTGATAAGGATTCTTACATACTTGTAATGCTTGTAAATATCCAATTCGTTCAAAAGTTTGGTACCCGTAAGTTTTTTCAAGAAGGTTGCATTTAATAGTGAAAAAAGAAAAAAAATGTATATATAATTCATAATGTCACAAACAATGATTTCCATTTCAAATAAATATTGAACTTCTGTCCAGGAAAGAATCTTGAAAAAACACAATTTTAAGATATTAAGCTAAACACGCATTTTCAACAGTGATAAGATTTTTTTCTTGAGCACCAAATCAGCATATTGATTTCTGAAGGATCATATGACACTGAAGACTGGATTAATGACTGCTGACTTTTTTAAGACATTTTAAAAAAAATATATATATATATTATTTTAATTGTAATAATAATGTTACTGTTTTTACTGGATAGCTGATAATATTTTGAGCATAAGAGACAAAACATTAAAAAAAATCTTACCGACCCTAAACTGTTGTATATTAGATATTAAAATAGATATAAAATGTTCAGCCAAATACTGAAAAGCCACATACTGCCATCACAAATGAAAAAATAAAACAACAAAGTAATTGTCTTTGAACTGACTAAGATGGTGTAATTGTAGGGAGATGGGAACATCCGGTATTATGAGATCACACTGGAGAAGCCCTACCTGCAGTATCTCATGGAGTTCAGGTCCCCTGCACCACAGAAAGGCCTTGGTAAAACTCAAATTCTCCCCATTCAATGATCACACTATATCAGCAACCTTTGTAAAATGGATTCAAAAACTTTCGAAATTAACCCTAGAATGCAATAAATAAACAAACAAACAGTAATAAAACCCCCAAACACTTAAAGATCAAAATGACCCATATTGGATTCAGTTTTTTTTTTTCCATAGAAAGGTTTTATCTCAGTTTTCAATGTAATCGTGTAAGATTTTGTTTTTAAATGTTTAAATATTTTAATTATGATCATTTATTCATTTCAAAATATTTAAATATATGTATATGATATAGCTTTTATGAGCAATGTATGGAATATCAAGAATTTAAATTCTTTTTATTGACAAAAATAATCAGAATCACACCCTATCTTTATGCAGTCTAGGGTTAAAAAGTGGATAGCACTTTCATTTAATCAGTAGTTTCTCCTCTAATAAACCATATATCTACTGTGTTATGATCTCTTCCATATCAAGACAAAACCAACAAATAAGCATGCCAATGACTAGTGTCTAATGTTCAACTTCTCATGTGTGTTCTGATAGGAGTGATGCCAAAGCATGGACTAGACGTAGGAGCGTGTGAAGTCTTCAGATTTTATAAGTTGGTGACTCTAAAGGGCCTGATTGAGCCAATCTCTATGATCGTACCTAGAAGGGTGAGCATAAGCACTATGAAGAAATTAGTTCCCAGTTCACGGTTCCCAATTAAATGAATCATTGAGGGTTCCACTGAAGGATGAGAGTAATTTGTGCTAGACAGTAGACACATCCCTTGTATGAGGTCTCAGGTAATATTTATGTAAACTGCCTTTTTAATTTTCAGTTTAACCCTGGTGGCTACAAGATTTGGTGGCTTTATAAAATCAATTTAACAATATGCAAATATATGTAGTTCTCTTGCATTCCTTGTAACATACAGTACATATGTTCAAGATTAGTTATCCTTGCTAGTTTTATGGAACTATTCTATATCTAGTTATACTGTGTCTTATGTAAAGTGTTATACAAATGAATTTGAAATAAAAAAGGATCTCTACTGTTGGTTACAAATAGTATTAGGTAATATTGTATGGTTTATGAAATTTGTTCAAATTCATTTTTTTTTTTTACTTTAGTAAAATGAATATATAGCTAATATATAATTAATATTAATTAAAAAACAATCGGAATCAACACAGTTGCTATACTCTGGAGTCCAAGTAGTTGTTTAGACTGAACGTTTACCTGTCCAGAGCCTTGTTATTATCACCTAATGCTAATAGTGTAAAATCAGTACAATGAACACCCTGTTTCTTTTCAGTCTGAAACCTATCAGGAGGACATATATCCCATGACTCCCGGAACAGAACCTGCTCTGTCTGCTGATGAGTGGCTCAGTGGAATCAACCGAGGTAAAAAAAAAAACTGCAGTTATCTTCAGAATAAAATATTTGAAAAGACAAAGGTTGAAATTAAGCTAATCCATGTATGCATGTACACGTCTAGGTCCGGTGCTTATGTCCTTAAAAGAGGGCTACAACAGACCCAACAAGCTGGTGTTCAAGGCCCCAGTGAAGGAGAAGAAGGGTGGAGTGGTCAATGGGATTGACCTGTTAGAAAACGTGCCTCCCCGTACAGAGAATGAGGTGTTACCGTGATTCTGTTAATTTATTATGGTTATTGAAAGGACAATTTAGCATATCTGTGTGTAACCCTTTGCGTTGTGCTCTGCAGCTCTTGCGGATGTTCTTCAGGCAGCAGGAAGAGTTACGCCGACTGAAGGATGAACTTGCACAGAAGGACATTAAGATCAGACAGCTTGAGCTGGAGCTCAATAACTTAAGGAACAGCCCAAACATCAACAACAATAACAACAGCAGCAATGGTAGCAGCATTTGACGTGGGATCTGTGCTGTTTCTGTTGATCTCCTGAAGTGACACTAGCTATAAGCCCCCAGCGCTGCTGAAACACACAGGCTTCCTTTTTCCTAACACTCAAATATCCTTCCTTCAAGACCTCTGGAGACCAAGCGCTTGTCTTCATAAAGCAGTGTTTCACTCCGACCCTCAGTGTTGACCCCACAGCTGCAGTGTGCTAAGTTGACTTTTTTGGACTGATGATTCACTTACCCTGTGAAAAGTCTCCCATCTTCAGTCACACTGCCAGTCTACCTGCAGTGGATTGATTCTCCTTATAGGGATTGATTTTGGTACAAGCTATTCATTGCATTATCATCTCATAATTGTAGACTTTAAATATTAGAATTATTTATTTCATTTATTGTTTCCTTTGTGTCATAGCCCTTGTTTTAAACAGCTTAATAAGTCCATATAGAGATAACAAAAAAGTGTTTTAATAAGGTCAAACAGACATGCTTCACCCATCAAGCTCAATCTCATGTAAACAAGACTAGTTCTATTGCATCATTATTATATGACTCACAGTGCTGTTTTAATGTAGAAACTCAAGCACCACAGTCCAGTAATCTTGCGACAGATGACTTTTACCCAATTGACATACTCCTGAGTCCTGAAGTTTCGAGTTTGTATTAATATAGTAGGGGACTCTAGTCTCTATAGTAGGGGAAATATGTTCAAGTCAGTCTATATAAGCAATATAGCTTATATAATTCAAATGTTTTTTTTTTTTCATTTAAATAAACTTTTGCAATATAGGCTACTTGATGGAAAAAAATCCACTAATTGTAAAATCCAATCATGACATAAATTAGCAATAGATGTAGTATTAGACACCTACACTGTAGTTCCATAGGAAGGTTCAAAGAACCTTTTTTTATTTCAGTATGATGAGGGCAATTGTTTATTTTAAAGACTGTCTGTGGTTTACAAGGCATAATGGAGCATTGTTTTTATTATTATTAACATTTAAATGAAACCTATTCCATTTTCAGTGCTTACCTTTAAATTAAGTGTCTTGAGTTTCAGGTTTGTAGCTTGTAACAATGAATTTATCCTTTCCGTTCTGATAGGCCTATAATATTCAAATTGTTGACCTCTTATACATAGTCTAGCCTATTGCGTTATAGATTGGATGTAAATTATTGTAAAATGCATAGTATTCCGCTTTGAATTTTCAATAGGCGATTTTAAGTGTTCTATTGTAAAGTGGACAAATTCGCTGTGGGCAAATATCATGCGCCACAAAACACTACAGGTGCAGTTACGCTCTTCAAAGCGCAAAAGTTAGCCTACCTTATTAATTATTATATGTGATGTTAACACATTTATTTTGCCTAGAACAAACTGGAAAAGATCGGTTTTAAAAATTGGCACACTTACTGGGCCACCCATGATCTGATCTGATGTGTTAAATTCTCATCCTTCGTAAAACTGATGGATCACTTGATTCCTGAAAGCTCTCAAACCTCACTCGACCAGGCAGCACGGAAAGCAAAGTCGGTCCTCCTCTGAGTGTTTGACATTCTCTGGTTGTCATTATTTAATTAAACACTATTAACATCAACCTTTTTTTCAAATATGTTGCCTTATAATTTAAATCAATCAAGAGAAACCCCAGCAGCAGCTCCTGCTTCATTATTGCATAGAGCGTTTTGAGTGCGTTTCAATGATTCTACCTTTAGGGGGCAGTGAAGCCACAGTCTTGCGCATGTGTATAGCACATTTAGGCCTACACTTGCCATGCCATGAAGCAAACACTACACTACACAGCATCCTGCTAAAGCATTAAAGAGCAGTTCAAAAACAGACAGTAGTTCTTCTTAGTTAAAATCCTAGCCTGCAGTTCACGCACACAATAGTCCTTAGATAATATCCTCATGTGGCATAATTAAAATATTAACCTACCTAAATGGGCCTAAACAAAAAGTGAGGGATATGGTGTTTGTGGCCTGTACATTCCCAATCTCATGCCTTACAATACACTGTTTATTCTTTTGGATGTTAAGGTGAAGTGAGTAATAATTTAGATGTTTACATTGCGAGGTGCCACAATATTTATGTTGTAGGCCGACTTGAGCCGCTTAATTTTGGTGTCAGACAAGATGCTCACTGTCTAGACAAGCACAATTAATTTTGAAAAATAATGCCTGAAGAATTATGAGGCAAGACATTAGGCTAATCTTTGTCTTTGATTAAACTGAGGAACATTAATAGGTAATCACTACTCTGTATTTTACAATTCATTATGATTAGCTGACTAACTACAGGATGTTGCACTAAGGGTAATTACATTCAAAGTAAAACTAACATTCCTGAGGAAGAGCATTGATATGCATAAAATACAACTGTCCAGGCTATAGTTTAATTTACCTGATAATCTTGAACAAAAATATGAACATGTAACATCTGTTACATGTCCCCACAGACTGAGAGACATTAGTTACACTGTGTGCAATGAAAGTTTCATTTTCATGTTAACAAAAATATTCATTTGAACAAAAATGCTGACTTTTATTCATGTGACATCTGAAGTCTTCTTTTTAATAAAAATTTCAATCAGTATGATCTGACAACTGGATACAGCTGTTAAAATTGCGTATGCTTTCTATTTAAATAATTGGCATGACGCTTATGTATATTTACACAATATCCAGTTACGCATCATCAAAAATATACAAGCTATTTTCCCTGAGCTTCACAATGCAAATTCACTTCATATATTCAATTAATCCGAAATATTCAAAGGTGAGATGATATACACTAGCCATTTCTGGACCAGACTCAAAAACAATCTATTGATCATGTAATCACAACTAATTACAATATATGGATTTTCTGTGGCAGTCAGAACAGATATTTCAAATTACCATAGAACCACTTGCATTTTCATTCATTTTATTACAGTTAATGGTTACAACTTAGATTATTTGTGAAAATGTCTGCCATTATCAAAGGGAATCAGAAAAAAATATATTTGGTCATTATTTACAAAGAACACGAAACCTCTGAACTATCCACACAAAAGGGAGAAGGGGTTTAGGACTCATTTGACAAGGGCAGACATTCAGCTTTGAACATTAAAAAAATAAAATAAAAATCACATTGAGCGGTTGAACTGTGGCTGTCCAAGCATACATCATGATGTGTTCTTCATGCCTAAACAGCACGTCACGTGGTGGTGGTGGGGATTATGATGAAAACACCAAAAAAAAAAAAAAAAATAAAAATACACAAATAAAAAAAGATGCAATAAAAAAGTGGGTTAGAAAATGTTCTTCCTTGAAATCCAGTAGTCAACTTTAAAATAGAGTCAGCCATGCACTTCTAAAAGGTTTTTGGTTGTTTTTTTTTTTTTTAATACATAAGTCATCACCAGCATTTAGGCATCAACAGTAAAGACAGGGAAAAAATTACAAGAGTATACTGGTCTGTTTTCCAACAATAATAAATTTCCACACTGTGTTGTCAGCCATTTGAAGAGCTTTTGGAGAAAATGAAGGGAATCAAACTGAAAGTACAAACCAAACCAAAAGAAAACAACAACATCAACAACAAAAAAAAGCTAAAAACAAATATTTAATCTGTGTCCTTGTTTATACTAGCCCCACCCCCTACCATTTGAATACCTCCCCAAACCATCGAAGAGTGACAATAGGACAGATATACAGGGGTTAAACAGTCAGATCACAATGGGGGAGGAGTCCATGTTCAGTCCTCATCTTCCTCCCCTTCCTCATCCAGTTCTCTTTTCCTCTTCTGACCCCGTTCCTCCTCTGTAAACACGACACAGGAGGACCAGAAGTTGTTTACTCGTATTCTCACCCTGCTTATCAGCATTCAATTCACAGGTGGTAACACTCATTGTATCTTAATCTATTCACTTACCAAAGTCTTCCTCATCATCTACCTCGCCGTCATTTAACTCCTCTTCCTCCTCTTCCTAAAAGTGAATAAAAGGCATAAATGTATACCATGTTTGTATATTTCAATACAATAAAAGGAATCAGCGTTTTCTTCCAGCATTAACCTCTCCACTGATGTCCTCTTCTTCCTCCTCTTCTCCCTCTTCCTCATCATCCTCCTCCCCCTCTTCTTCATCTTCATCCCCTGGAGCTGCATCTTCATCATACTCCTCCTCTTCTCCCTCTGCAGACAAAATTAGGTCAATGACAAATGAATTCCTTAAACGGAATTAAAAAAAAGTAAGCACCTTATCAGTCCAACCCTTCAGAAACATACCATCTTCATCATCCTCATCATCATCTAGGCCTTCAACGTAAGCTTCAGCATCAGAGTCTGGTGCTTCTTTATCCTCTTTGTCATAGCCGTCGAGATATGTCAGCTGAGGGAGCAGCTTGAAAACATTTTCTCTGTAGTCGTTCAGGTTTGTCACCTCACAGTTGAACAAGTCTAAACTTTTGAGGCTTTCCAATTTTTTCTGTTCGGGAAAAAAGGACAGGGTCAAAAAATGACTATATATATAAGCAAAATGGGATATGACTCCAATGACATGATTATGGCATACCAGGGGTTCGATGGTGCTGAGGTCTTTAATTTTGTTGCCACTGAGGTTGAGATGGGTGAGGTTGGGACACTTCTCTGCCAGTACCTCCAGACCACCGGAGATTCTGTTATCACTAAGCTCGAGCTATGGAGAACATGATTCAGTGCCATATTAATTAAGACTGTGGGGCGGGGGTAGACACGAAAAATTAGACACGAAACTGCCAATTACCTTTTTGAGTTTGTTAAGCTTAGGCAAATTGGCAACTGATGTCAAGCCGACGTTGATCGTGCTTAAAAATTCCAGTTCCTCAAACTCATCAGTGAGGCCCTCAATTTTACCCTCATTTGACCGACAGTTGTCAAGCACAAGCTCTTTCACCTGTTAAAGGGCATATGAGACGAACAAGAGATTAAATGTTATGATTGATGAATACAGCATTTGTAATAGCCTCTACACAAGCAACTTCAAATCAATTAGGAGGTGGACATGGTGGATAAAGCCACTTAAATTCATACACACAAGAGCTGTTTTTAACTTTTGCAGCAAGCCAAAATAGCACTGCATGTTTACACTTGTATAGTGGCGACCCACCAAAACAAAACAAAAAACGTAAAAATATGAGAATTCCTTATTTTTATAGTTTACATAAGCAAAAAGGTACTCTTCTTAATCAGAAGATGAACACATTAATCAAATTAGAGCACAAATAAATACGTCCCATTCGGGCGCCATTCAATTGTAAAGTTTACTTCAGCATGCGGTCTACGGTAACAGATGGGGGGCATGTTTCGGTGCTTTCACAAAAATCTCATTTTTGACTCCCCATCCAACAAAATGGCTGACTCCGCAACAAGC